AGGTTGGAGGCCAGCTATGAGGTTGGGACCATCAGTAGTATAGGTTGAGGAGGTTGGAGGCCAGCTATTTGGTTGGAGGCCATTGCTAGTAGGTTGGAGGAGGTTGGAGGCCAGCTATTAGGTTGGAGGCCATTGCTAGGTTGGGACCATCAGTAGTATAGGTTGGAGGAGGTTGGAGGCCAGCTATTTGGCTGGAGGGTTGGGACCATCAGTATAGGTTGGAGGAGGCCAGCTATTAGGTTGGAGGCCATTGCTAGTAGCCACTCAGGCCCAGACCTTCTGGGGCGTTTGCCCCTCGGTAGTGGTGTCGCCCCTTCTTGGAAGGGGGTACTAGCTGTGCCCCGTTACTCCAGACGCCATGGACAGATCCAGGTTGCCTTCAGGGGCGGCCAGAGAGATCCTACGGGACTTTCAGTTGTGGGGAGATGACGGTGGTGATCTTGTTGAGCGTCCCTCCTTGCTGGTTCAGGATCTGGCCATTCAGAAGGCCGATACGCCATTTCTGTTCGAAGCTGGGCATCTGATTGCCAGTGGTCGTGGCCTGCGGCAGTTGGACATGGATAGTGTTTGGATTGGTGAGGATAGGGATATGCCACAATCCATCACCATGGACTGGAAGGCTACTGGCAAATCGGTGCTTCATGACATGTGCATTCGTGGTCTGCAAGGCAAACGCCTCATATGGAATGCTGCCCTGAACTACCCAGGTCCTGAGCACAAAGGATACCTGTCGATCGACGATGACACCTTGGTCTTGCCTTTGAACAAACGCTCCTCTGGAATTATTCCGGTTTTGCACTTCTTTGGTGGTGCTTGGGGAGGATGGAGCTACGCTTGTCAGCTTTTGGCAGAAAAGGATGTACCGATCATCTCAGGCTGCATTGAGGTGGATTTCACTGCGGCTAGGCAGTATGCCTTGTCTTACAGGTGTCCGCTCTTGTCGGCTGCGCAAGAACTTCCTCCTCTTTCCTTGCTATCCTTCCCTGAAGGTTTCTGCATCCATGGTGACGTCTTTGATGACAATTGGTTACAAGCTGCGGCATGCTGGAATGTTGAAGTGATTACAATCTCGGCTCCCTGTCCTCCATGGAGTGGCGCAGCAGGACAAATGGGCTTGCACTCGGCTGAAGGCCAACTGTTCATGAGGGCCATTGGGGTATGCAAGATTCTCAGGCCAAAGATCATTTTGATCGAGCAGGTGGCCGCCTTTCACTCTCATCCTCATCGAGCCTGGATCGAGAAGGCACTTTGTTTTGCTGGGTACCAACTTAGATTTGGCCATGTCATCGAGTTGAGTGATATCATGCCGGTCAAGAGGGCTCGTTGGCTGGGAGTTGCATACTTCATTCATGAACCGGACCTTCACTTTCCAGCTCTGTCCTCATGGTCCACTCAGAGAGTCAACACCTTGCTGGAATTCGATTGCATTCGTGCTTGGCCTCCTGACATTCTGTTGCGTCTTAAGGTGCCTGATGAAGCAGTGCAACATGCTCAGTCCTTACCTTTGGACCGTCCAGCGAAAGCCAGGAGAACACACTCGGCAGAGGAGGCAGTGGCTTCACACACTTTCCGGTCCACAGACTCTTGTGTGCCCACCTTCATGGCTCAATATGGCAATCAGCATCGGCTACGCCAAGAGCTTCTGGAACAGCGTGGCTATTTTGCGCATTGGCTCCAGACCGTGGATGATGACACGTATAGATTCTGGCATCCTGTTGAAATTGCACTCATGCATGGAGCTTGGAGTGGTTTCTGGACTGACCATCAGTTTGAGCAGAACTGGAAGGGATTGGGTGACCAGATTGCAATCCCAAGGCTGATTCAAGGCTTGAACATGTTGAGAGAAACGCAACCTGCAGTTGAATTGGTCGGAACTGTTGGCATACTTTGATCAACATCGACTTCGTGCCTCCGAGCTGTGTCAAGAGATCTATCCTTCAGGCTCCATGTGGATGAACCGACGCACGCGTTTCCTCCTGCATGAGGACCCTATCCAGCACTTGTTTCAGGAAGATTTGATTCAGCTCCCTCGTGATCATCTTTGGACACCAGAGTTGGGGATTCTCAAGCTAAGTTCCTACATTGAGAGAAGGGGAGATTGCATTGGGCTTCATGGCCTCCGACAGTGGAATCCAATTTCCATTCTGGCATCACAGAGAGAACACCTGGAGGTTACAGCTCCTGTTCGGCTTATGGTGCAGGATCATCTTCCCTGGACAGCCTAAGCAGTTCATTATTGAGCATGCTACTCCTGTGAAGGCAGTGTTGGCTCTGTGGAAGGGTGCATTACGACTTGAATCCGATGCCTGGGAGTTCGATGATCAGGACCGACTCTTTCCGGTGGATGATCCTTCAGGTGATTGGGAAGAGGATGAGGCTGGCATTTGTGTCCCGGTTCTCCAACAGGACATGTTTGACTTTCGATATATTCACCACCGCGAGATGGTGCAGAGCCTGCTCAAAGTTGAGGAAGCGGACATCCTGTGGCATGATCAGTTTGATCTTGTCCCACTGCGGGCCAATGTGGTTCCTGGCATGCTTCTGAGCCTGCACAGTTGGACTCACACCAAGCTCTCATTGTCCTCCACGCAGATTCTTGATGAACTCTTGGACGCAACTGGGCAATGTCACTGGGATCATAGACGTGATGTTCACTCCATTGCTGGCATCGGCAGCATGGCGGCATGTCAACTGTGGGCCACGATTTGGGAGTCTTCTCTCACGAATGAGGGACGTGCCTCCTTTCATCTGGAGGTTTCCAGTGATCTCACGGAGCATACCTTCCAAGTCGATGCCAAGATTGGTATGTTTACGGCTCTTCCTCCGGGTGCATTCCAGCTGTGGTGGGCAGTGCGAGCTGCTCGAAGCACACTGGACTGTTTGAGGATCCCCTCGGGCATCTTCGTTGCTTTCAAATGGTGCAAGCGACTGATTTGGGAGGGTCATCTTTCTCCTGAGATTGAGATTGCCAAAATCATTGCCCTGCTGCAGCAGCTCTGGATGCCTGTGATTCGTGGTGAGGAGATTCGGCTGATCCATGGATTCTCTGCTACACGGCTCTCTCCTGAACAGCCACTTGGCTACCTCACCTCATTGGTCCAGCAGGGAAAGGCCTATGTCCTCCACATGGTGACTGGCATTCAGGGCGGGGGGTGGTGGCGGCCGCAATCCACAGGCAATTTCCCTCAAGAATGAAGTGGCTAGCGCTTTGCTTGACCTGCAGTATGATCTCAGTTGGATATCAAAGGCAGTTGATAGCCTCTTCAATCACTTGGGCCATGCTGCTGTTGTGGCTCTGATGAATGGGAAAAAGGAGACCCGTGCCACTGCAGTCCTCCAGGCAATGAAGCAGATTGGGTTGGAGATGCCACGTAAGAGGTCCGGTGCTTTGGATAGTCAGAGTTCCTCCAGGGAGATTCAAGCCTCCAAACGGAAGCCACCTGAGATCAACCTTTCTACTGTCACAATCATGCAGGGCTTCCTG